GTTCAAAATTAAGGGCTAACTATAATATGAATAAGCTGCCGTAACTGTCTGTCAGAAAATGAACGAAAAGTTTGTCAAATAAGAAACTCAGTATAGACTTTTAGGTGGCTACATTTTACTTACATGAGTTCAATTTTGCCAGATTTATCTAGATATAACAACATCAAACAAAGGCAAAGAACAAGAAGCAGAGACGCAAAGTGAAGCAAGAATGTGGAGTGTAAACAGATTGATTCGCCGTTCGTAATTGAGAGAGCGAACCAAGTGATTCGGTTGGCGTGGAAAACCGTTTAAGGTAAAAATATAATGAAGGAATGAAAAAAATTATCGATAACATTTTAAATACTTAGCAGCAAATGCAGTTGTGCTTAAAGGCGCGTTTACATACAACTTTGGCGTTGCGTTGGCGTCGGTTCGACAGCTGTCTATGAATAAATGCATTAAATGAAAGTCTCCACATAACCAAAGTTAGGCAACGCCAACGCCAACACAACGCAGAAAGATGGCCAACTCTCGACTTTTCGCGCGCGTCGTTCATCAGCTGTTCCAAATAATCAAAATTATGTTATTTAACTTTCATTTTTAATCAAATTATTGCCCGCATTTGATTTGATATAGTTTTTAACGCAATTATTGATATCAAATTTTGATTTATCTGCCGCTAGTATGTTAAGTTAGTGTCCAAAGTACTCTCTGCTAAGCGTTCATGGTAGCAAGCAAGGGCGTTACTCGCGCATCTGTCAAAGCGACGCCAGCGCTAACGCAACGCCAAAGTTGTATGTGGACGGGCCTTAAGAGCGAAAAACACCACACAAGCGTCTTGAAAAACCAAGCGAAATATCCATTTGCTTAAAGCTATGTATGTTGTGTGGGGGTGTTTGAAGGTTTGACAAGCCGTTTGAGGGAAATGTGAACAAAAATAAAATATTTTTGATTTTCTGGCCGCCATGTTGACGCTTGATCAAACCGCTTACGCTGTGTATGATAAAATCGCCTAATCAGCAACGGAATTTTTACAAAATGAGGACGCAAGAGAGAAAAATCGAAGAAAACCAAACCCTTTTACATTGTGACCCGAAAGAAATCTAAAATTCTTTGCTTGAACGAGTCACGCTTGTATGGTGTACGGCGAAATAGGAAAAGTAGGTTTGACAAGCCACTTGTGTGGTGTATTTAGCTCTTCATAAAGCTTCGGAAGCCTTTTGGTCAGAAATTTGCAAAGCCATTTATTAAGTAAGATACCACGTTTATACGCACGTATTATTTGCAAATAACAATTTGCAAAATGGTAACATTTGCCGTATAAACGCTGAGCTAATTTTTTATTTGGAAATAACTAAATCACGCAAATAAGTATTGATTAGTGGTACTATTTATTTTCTTTTTCTTTTTTGACAGATATCCCATTGAAAATTATGTCAAAAAGCTGCAACTAACTTTAAAGTCGACTTTATTTTGACTATGACTACGGGCCATTGCCTCTTTATAATCAAGACGTTGCCATTTTTAACGTTATTTTCTTTTTCGATGGTCATTTATTGCCTTTTTATAATCAGGCAATATTAAAAAATAATTTTTCACCATCGAATAAACAGTGAGTTAAGTATTTGAAAATTATTTTTATTTGCAAATAGCTTACGTAAAACGTAGTATCTGTTAAGTAAAACATGATCATGATGCAATAATACAAGGTGGTATCAATTGTGACAGCTCGATTTGACACTGCCTTAGCTCAGTAGAACGAGAAGAAAAACGTGAAGAAATTAAGCCCCATTTAGGGGAAAAATATAAAATTTCACATTTTTCCTAAACCAAATTTGCTTTTTTATAGTATACTCGTAATGAAATGGGCATAAATGCAGTTGGGCTCCAAATCTCAAATTAAAAAAAAATATTGGAATCGATAGAGATGATTGAGGTGAGTATAATGGTATACTTCTTTTTTTTGGCAATCAACAACAACAAGAATTATCAAAGGTTAAAGTTCAAAATAAGCAATTTTGGAAATCCAAATTTCTCAAAAACGAATGAATGGATTTTTAATCAATTAATTCAATTTTTGTAAGAACTATACAACATATATATAAAGTACGTATACGAAATTAAAGGGAATCAAATTTCCTATTAAACGAGATCAAAATTTTCAAGATCCACCCATCCGTTTTTGAGAAATCTTGATTTCAAAAATTGCTTATTTTGAATTTTAATCTTTGATAATTTTTGTTGTTGTTGTTTGCCCAAAAAAAGAAGTATACCGTTATACTCAGCTCAATCATCTCTATCGATTGCAATATTTATTTTTTTTTTGAGATTTGGAGCCCAACTGCATTTGTTCCATGAAATGAAATAAAATAAGATAAAATACCTTTTTAAGAAAAAAAATGTGTATACTGAGAAAAAAAAAAATTCAACTATATTATTAGGCAAAGAATTGTTAAAGAAGTAACACTGTCTCACCTAAGACAGTCCATATGGCGGAATTAGAGCAAGAAGTTGCCAACTGATAACACCTGTATTAGTTGCGTTCCCTAACTCGCAAGAAGTTGCAAGAATTTACAGGAATTGACCAGAAAGCGTTCCGTACTCGGATCTCTGGCTTCTTTTGCCTTTTGACAGTTTTACAGGTTTTAACCCAGAAAAGTTGGGGAACGCAACTATTATTGCATCATGAAACATGATTGCATTTGTTATCTGCAATATATCGGGAGAAAATTCCTCAAAAAATACTCAAGCGCGCCAGAAATTCCTCACGTTGTGAGGAATTACTCAATGGCAACACTGAAACAAACCAAAAGTGTACGATAGATTTGTCTCCCTCACCTTGGCTTGACATTTGCGCGTAGCGTCTGTCAAAAATCTCATCGATAGCATTCAGCTTGTACTCGGAGAAATTTACATATTTTTTCTTCAATCTAGACTTTAAATTGGTTATAATTCACCAACTTATTCACAAGTAAATTGTACAAGCTCAAAAGAATATTTTTATTAACACCAATCGATTGAGATTGTAGTTTAAAATGGGATCCGAAGGTAAGTCTTCTGGCAGATTTTTTTTTTTGTATGCGAGCAACGTGTGCAATCAACCGAAAATGTATGTATCAATTTTGCAGACCGCGATAGGCGCCGCCATAGGTCACGTTCAAGAGACCGCGAACGGGGAGAACGCGATCGCGATTTCCGTCGTTCGCGTTCACGAGATCGCAAACGTGAAGGTCCAGCAGCTGTGCGCGACCGGCACACACGTTCTCGACGAAGGAAGCCATCGTTATACTGGGACGTGCCGCCACCAGGCTTCGAGCACATTACCCCGATGCAGTACAAAGCCATGCAAGCTGCTGGTCAGATACCGGCGAATGCCGTACCAGAAATTCCACAGGCTGCTGTACCGGTTGTTGGCTCTACTATAACGCGACAAGCGCGTCGTCTTTACGTTGGAAATATACCATTCGGTGTCACAGAAGAAGAAATGATGGAGTTTTTCAATCAGCAAATGCATTTAACTGGTCTAGCCCAAGCGGCTGGAAGTCCCGTGCTGGCGTGTCAAATCAATTTGGATAAAAATTTCGCTTTCTTAGAGTTCCGTTCGACAGATGAAACCACACAGGCCATGGCATTCGATGGCATCAACTTTAAAGGACAAAGCTTGAAAATAAGACGCCCGCATGATTACCAACCCATGCCAGGTGTGGCTGATTCTCAACCTGTATCGGCGCCAGTTGGTAAGTTGACGTAATGAAATAAAAAATTCTAATAATAATTTTGTGTTACTGCGCTTTTACAGCCAATGGTGTGATTTCAACTGTTGTGCCAGACTCGCCGCACAAAATATTCATTGGTGGTTTGCCAAATTACTTGAATGAAGAACAGGTAAGTTGGAAGATAGCTGAATTTCGTTGTAATTTCCAGAATAATGTAATTGTAAAGTTTTTTTGCCACAGTTTGTTAAGGCACAATGATGAGGGATTGCGGATACGGGATTACTTGAAGAATTCCTAAGAAAGAAATATTCCAAATTGTATTTAATTTTTCCCTTGTAGCATTATAGCGCATCCAGAATGTCAATGCAGTTACAGTCAAGCAGCGCTTACTAGATATTATTTGAACTCGTTTTTGCAGCTTAAATTTCAGCGCAGATTTTCCACTTCGGTTTTAAATTTTCAGCTCCAAATTTAAATTTTCAGCTCTTTTTTACAGCTTCATTTTCAGCTCCAGTCTCAGCGACGCAATTAAAGTACTCTTCACTTTCAGCTAGAGAATTACTTAAAAATTATAGGATTACTTTACCACATTTATATTACGTACCTAGATTTGTTGTCAAAACTTGTATTAATTGTGTTTTTGATTGTTTGGTTATTGTAGCTTAGGTTGCATCCTACACCACAGCAACAAGCACTCGTACTCGTTCGTATTCGCTTTTGTTTCAGTTGCATCGACCCATGCCCACTGCACCTACCTGTAAAACACACATCTGTCATTGCGTGTGCATTAAATTGCGAGTACAATATGCGGTGTGAGAAACTAAGTCAGTGCGTGTCGATGCAGTCAAATTGCAATGTATGCAAGTGTCGATGTAAAAGGCAAGTTTATTAAAATTGACAACAAATTCCATTTGCAAAACTCTACAGGAACTTTTCAGAATTACCTACTAAGCAAAATCAACCAAACAATGTCGACAATTTCGTTTAGCCATTCCCAATATTATTTTGTTCTAGGTGGTGGAAGGATATGCGTTCCCGTTAAAGGGTGACACACTATACTCGCTGTGGAATAGCAATAGATCTTTTATGACAACTTAAAATATCCAAAGTTCAAAGTTGAAAAAAGTTTTTTTTTTTCCTTTGAAAGCCCTCTGTATTTTGCACTTTAGAATAACCATGCTTTTCAAAATTTCAACAGGTTAAAGAGTTGCTACTCTCATTTGGACAATTACGGGCTTTCAATTTGGTTAAGGATGCTGCCACTGGTTTGAGTAAAGGTTACGCATTCTCCGAATATGTTGACCACAGCATAACTGATCAGGTATAATCGTAAAATTTTTACAACAAAACTATTGTCTAATTCAGATTTGTTTTAAATCGGTAGGCTATTGCGGGTCTAAACGGCATGCAGCTGGGCGACAAGAAACTGATAGTTCAGCGCGCCAGTGTAGGTGCTAAGAATGCACAAAATAGTTCCACCACCGCTGCGCCGGTCATGATACAAGTGCCTGGCATGTCCATGGTCGGAACGTCTGGTCCACCCACCGAAGTTCTTTGCTTATTGAATATGGTTACGCCCGATGAGTTGCGCGACGAAGAAGAATATGAAGATATTTTGGAAGATATCAAAGAGGAATGTAATAAGTATGGTGTTGTGCGCAGTGTTGAGATACCCCGACCCATCGAAGGCGTGGATGTGCCTGGTTGCGGTAAAGTATTCGTTGAATTCAATTCAGTTATGGATTGTCAGAAGGCACAACAGGCGCTGACTGGACGTAAATTCAGTGATCGTGTTGTGGTTACTTCTTACTTTGATCCAGACAAATATCATCGACGTGAATTTTAAAAGGACAAACGTTAAATTATTTACGCAACTCATAAGCCGAAATTAATGTCATTAAAGTAAACAAATTCTTAAATATGTATCCCATATTAATGTGAGTGTGTATCCAAATCTTGTTTACCATAAATGAGTAGAGCATCACCTGCCATAAAAATATGTAAAGACTTCAATCTCTGGATTTGGATATACTGACGGTTTGGTTACTGATACGATCCATTTTTAATTACGTTCATATAAAGGTTAATTCTAAACATTTTAAAATAAATAAAAATACTTAAATTGTGCATAGTCTTACGTCATGGCGTCGATATTTGCGACGACTCTGCGTATCATTTGTATTAATATTCAAAATGACGAAATTTAATATTTAATAAAGGCGCGACGTACACCCTACATCTGTTGTTTAATTACACATAAGAAGCCTTTCATGGATTTAGATGAAAGTTGAAGAGATCGAAGGTCTAGGTGACATGAATATACGTGCAGCATATTTTGCCGATATGCTGTAGGGTTGCTTATTTATACCGGACTTAAATTTTAAGAAAACGTCATACATTCTTTAAAGTGCTGTATCTTGCAAACCTTTTAACGAAACTTAATGAAAAAAAAAATGTTTTTCTTCCGCCTTATTATGGGTTTTAATTATAAATTTCTTACATTAATGTGCAACGTTGCAAGTTCACATGGGGAATCTGCTTGCGACAGGATTGGCGGAAATTTTAAGCGACTAGCAGCTGGAACAAGTCTTCAACTCCTGACGTTACAACAAATGGGGTAAGAATAATTTAGAGAAAAAAATTGAAAATTTTGTACACCCAAGCTCGATAGGCATTTTATTTTGTTACACTATACGCCAAAATCAACAGTTTTTCTGGGCATTGGACCAAACCAATTTTTTTTCAAACTTATGTATATTACAGGTCCCTTAAACACTTAAAAATCAGTTCAACATTTTTTGAAATACATATAACTTTTTTAATTTTTCGAAGATCTGACCCTTGACCCCTTATAGCACCTGTAATATAACGGGCATATGCAGTTTTACTTTTTTAGTCGTTTACATACAGTAATTAAAAATATTTTTTTACCAAAGGTCCAATTCCGAACTTCGAAGGCCCATATCTCAATTTTGGAGGCTAACTTCGAAAAAACGGATACATTATTTTTATAATTACGACTCAATCTCTTAAAAAAAGTTGGTTTGGTCCAATACCCAGCCAAGTGTTTATAAATGCACAGTGTGCTTTTTAAACACTACTTGCGAATTAATCGTGGTGCTTTCGACAAAAGCAACATTTTCATATGAAGAAAAATGGTTTTGAAGGCTAATGTAATTGCCTTTTACGGAAAAATATTGTCATTGTGCCACAATTACTCCTTGACCTTAAAAAAAAAATTGGTCAAAATAGTCTACGACAGGATTCATAAAAAAATGTGTGTATTTTTTTATTAAAATAATATTATAGATTTTGAGACGAGCAACACGATTCACTGTTCAAAATTCGAAAAAAAATTAACACCTTTATTTAAAAAATTCATTATTTATTGGATTTTTTTTTTATTTGCATGCAGCTGTACATCCTTCACACATTTTTTTTATCCCTCGAACAACGAGTGCGTTTTAGTGCTATTCAAGATCTTTCATTTGATCCAAGGCCCTTTGAGAACCAAATTATAACGATTCTGAAATTAAACTTCGAAATTTCATTCGACATTTCACCCAAATTTTTTCTAATTTCGCAGTAAAAACGGTTAGAGCAGTTTCGAAGTTTGGTTTAAAATTGTTATAACTTGGCTCTCAGAGGGCCTGGAGACTTCAAACTTTGCTGAAATTAATGGTCTTGAATTGCACTAAAACTTGTTATTCGAGGGATATAAAATTGTGTGAAGGATGCACAGCTGAATGCAAATAAGAAAAATGCAATAAATAATACCTTTTTTAAATGGAGGTGTATTTCGAATTCGGCCCTGATTTAAGGCCTAGAGAGAGGATTTGGAAGATGGGCATATGGCTTCAGTCCAATTGGACACTCTAGAAAGCCGCAATTCGCAATTTCATCGGCCAGTTTATTGCCTTGAGCACCACTGTGTCCTGGCACCCAGTAGTTGCGTTCCCCAACTTTTCTGGGTTAAAACCTGTGAAACTGTCAAAAGGCAAAATAAGCCAGAGAACCGAGTACGGGAACGCTTTCTGGTAAATTCTTGCAACTTCTTGCGAGTTAGGGAACGCAACTTTTGTATTCATATTCGTATGTATATGTATACACTGCATACCAGGATTTTAGAGTATTCTAAATGGTTTCAGAATCTTTTAATGAATTTTCTTTAAGAAATCGTACAGAAATTTCTTTACTAGTTCTCGTCAACAGCTTCATGTGTTTCTTTAAAGATTCCTAAAAAATCGTAACAAACTTCCGATACTCTTAAAGATTTCGGGAGCATTTGTTTGACATAACCGAGCTGATAAGAAGAAGCATGGCTTCTATCGCTATCACCTGTAATTGATACGCCTTGGTTTTTCACACAACTAGGAATGTTCGATATTTAAGAAAGTATCGATATCATGAATCGATTTAATTCATTGCATGTAAAATCGATATGGCGATATATCGGGCTGAACAATATCGATATCGGAAAAATCGATGTTGATAATCCTACTACCAATTGAATAGAATATTAGACCTGCTTATCAACTCAACTAATTGTGTTATTTCCATCTTGTATATTACTGAGGATTAAAACGGCATGCTGGTCGACTCAAGCGGTTTGTCAAACCCAAGAGCTAAATAAATCACACAAGCTGTTGATTAAACCTAAAATAAATTTCAACTTAAATATCGATATTGCGGGTAAAGTATCGATGTCTTCGATATATCGACCTTGGAATATCGATTCAAAAAATCGATTATCGTGCGATGAAATATCGATATTCAGAAAAATTCATCTGACCATATTCTGCATAAGAGTTGATGCATGCAACTTATCAACCCCTCGCCGTGAGTCGCTTAGCTCTCTGGTAAAATTTTCGGACCGTTTTCGGCCAGCATTTCAAGCTCTTCGCATTCACGTATTTCAGTCTCTCTTTTTATTTCGCTACATACGTCTCACTTCCCTCTTCAGTTCCCTATAGCGGTCCCACATAGCATGCGTTGCATCCGAACGCAGCGTGGTCCTGAAGGTGGCATCTTTTTTATTTGCAGCTCCCTGACACTCCTCATCGTACCAGTTGTTCTCTCGGGCTCTTTGAAATTCGACTACTTCTTCGGCGGCCGTACTTAATGAGCGGGAAATGTGGTTCCACTGCTCGCATATGTCGTTGGGTTGAAGAGTGCTCCCTGAGAGCAGGTGTGAGAGCCGAGTAGCGAATGCATGGGCTGTCTGTTGTGATTGCAGCTTTTCAACGTTAGGCTTTCTTTGCATTTTTAAGCACACATTTTTTGTTGCACAGACGCGTGACAGCAACAAGACAGTGGTCCGAGTCTATGTTTGGGCCTCAAAGTGTACGTATGTCTAAAACACTGGAATCATGTCTTCCGTCTATCACAACATGATCGGTTTGGTTCCTCGTTTTTCGCAGACAGCCACGTAGCTTGATGGATCTTTTTATGCTTGAACCCTGTACTGCATACTATCATGCAGCGGGCCCTGGGGAAGTCGAACAGCCTCAGTCAGTTGTCGGACGATTCGTCGTGGAGACTAAATATTCCGACAGTGGTTCCAAAGACCCTTGCCCACTCTGGAATTGAGATCGCCAAGCACGATTTCGATATCATGCCGGCGGCAGCGCTCTTATTTATATTTTTTATTTTATTTTTATTTATTTTATTTTAGTCTTTGAAACAGAATTTCTTACAGACTAGTTAAACTTAAATTAGATTTATTTTAAATAAAAGTATTAAGATACACTTAAAAGTATGTATTCAAAAGATTTATAAAAGCATACTTCGAAATTGAAAAGTCAATTGCAACAATATGCGAGATATTATTGAATTCGCGCAAGGACCTTACTAAAGGAGCATTAGTAGCAAATCTTGTTTTGAGACTCTCCAAATAAAATGGGTAGGAGTTTCGTAGACTACGCTTAGGAACATTAAATCTGATCCGCTCTAGAAGATATGGGCAAAGAATGTAGCCTTTTATAACATTAAAAGTAAAAGTTAGCGACAGCAAGGATCTACGGTTTTCCAAGGATTTGAGATCAATCAGCATGAGACGGGATGTGTATGATGGAATAGGATTTTCAAACTTTAGGCTTCGAAGTGCAAATTTAATAAATATTTTCTGCACACGCTCAATCCTATTGGCTGAAAGTTGATTATAAGGCCTCCAGACAAAGACTGCGTATTCAAGATGTGAGCGGACAAAGTTGTGAATAACAGTTTCAAAGTATATGGATCAGTGAATTTAGTACTATTACGTCGCACGAATGCTAATACAGAGTATGATTTTGAAATTACAAAATTAATGTGACTACTAAAAGAAAGCTTAGAATCAAATATGACTCCCAGATCTTTAATTTCGTTAACATTCTGCAAAGCGATATTAGATATATTGTAAGACGTATTGACAACATTAAAAGTTCTCCCAAACGTAACCTTAAAGCATTTTTGAGTGTTTATTGAGAGACGTGATTTCGAGCACCATGAATAAAGGGTATCGAGGTCATGTTGGAGTCTTGTTACATCTACCGAGTTTCTTATTACAGAGAATAGTTTCAGGTCATCTGCATAGAGCAAAAAGTTTGCGAAAGAAAGACAGTTGCATACGTCATTAATAAATAACACAAACAGTAATGGGCCTAAGACACTACCTTGTGGGACTCCTGACAAGGCCACAAAGGGTTCGGAAGAAGAACCATCTACTGATACTACGCAACTTCTGTTGGACAAGTATGATTCCATCCACTTCAGGAATGATGAGTGAAAACCAAGACATGAAAGTTTGTTGATCAAGAGTTTATGGGAAACTTTGTCAAAAGGCTTTGAGAAATCTGTATAAATACAGTCAACTTGTTGGCCATCAGAGAAAGATGAAATGCAATATTCAGTAAAGACTGCCAAGTTAGAAACCGTGGACTGACCGGAGACGAATCCATGCTGATTAAGAGTAATTAGCTCTTTAACAGCAAAATACATTTTGTCTTTTACAATGCTCACAAACAATTTAGATATTATTGAAAGCTTTGAAATGGGCCTGTAGTTCCGAGCATCATTTTTTGTTACCATTTTTAAATGTTGGAGTTATGTATGTTATTTTCCAGTCATCGATAAAAGTGCCCGTTTATAAGGAGTTATTAAAAAGAAATTTTAAAGGTTGCACCAACGCAGAACAATTTTTTAAGAACATGGTTGAGAGACCATCACTATCAGTTTGTGATGAGGGCTTAAGTGCTG